CCTTCAGATTAGTCTCTAGGATGGGTCACTACTGGCGCGGATACTGACCGTTCTTGTTTCGCTGAATTACTTTCTTTCTCAATTACTTTAAAGTTTGCTTAATTACCAGTGCCTACCTTATTGCCACTGTTGCGCACTTCGAGTGCGCTTTGGATTTCAATGACCACGAAATATGATGGGCTTCCTGACAGCCGGAGCACACCTTTCCCTTATGCTGGCCTGCACTGCGGCTACCAAATGCACACATGAGGCAAAGCGTATTGTACTGTAAGGTTTTTGGTCGTCAGTCTCATCTGGTGCGGACTGAGGCAGTAGTGCCTGTGTGGTATTATCCAGGACCCTAGCTAGTGTCACAGTAATTCTTGGCTAGAATTATTGCTCCAAATTGAAATTAGAGGCACAAGTTATTCACTGGTTAAAGAAGTGGCTGGAGTGATAACAAAGAACTTTTGAAAGAAAGGAAAACGTTTTTAGAAAAGAAAGAAACGTTTTTGAAAATGAGAAATTTATTGACTTGGATCCACAACGAAATGAACAATTTCAGACCTAATAATACAATATAAATCAAAGCTGCAACGCGGTAGGTTTGAACCCTTTATTAATCGACTAGGGAGCGGCCTTAAAGGCAAACCCCGGGATTAGCCCGACTAGTAGGAAGGATACCGCGAGGGAAATTGTAAGGTCCGTACCTACCTAGATCACTTCAACTTGGTCGCGAAAATCGCGCGGTTAGGGCGCTAATCCTTACGGGCCTCCAACCATCGAACGCTTCCCACCCACCGCGAGATGTGGTGAGATCAGCGTGCATTGATGTAGAGATCAGCGTGCTCTCTCAAACGACGTTCTCTCTCGCGTGTTTTGACCTCTTTGATCGCCCTGTCTCGCCATCGTACCACATCCGACCTTATTGAAGGTTAAGGCCTTAATTCAGCGTTCCCAAAGAGTTCTCTTGCTTCCCTCTCCACTTTCAGGTCGTTCCGCAGCTAAGCTATCACTGCGAAGCGCTCTTAGCACCAGTTTAATTCCGGAGTTTGCCTTTAATCAAACGAATTTATGCACAACTAGTTTTACGAAAAAAGACCGATATAGTTGCAAAAGAGCTTCATCGGCCGTTCAGCTCAAAGGTTTCAAATGATATGGTTTGGAACCATGTGGGACAGTGGAATATTTCGTGGTTATTCCTGTGTAATTATTTGCTTCTTGTAGATCGTTGACATAAGTGTCAGTGTTAATTTTTGCGCATTTCAACCCAGTGCATGTGCCTCTACCGGGGCAGCGCTTTTGGTACTTAACCTTAGTGATTGTATTTCGTGTAAAGTAGAGGGTTTCTTTGCGACATCGAAGAATGAGGTTTTTCAATGAAATGTGCATATAGTGGACTTGCTGATCGTTGTGTTGTAATTGGATGCACAGTTCGGGTTGCATTTGGTTGAGTTTTGTCACCAGTGTGGTTGGATTGCGACATGTTTTAAGGATTGTCTGTTGACATCCGTATGTAGTTGAGAGGAGGTAAGCGAGGATTGCGATTAGTCGGATCATGGTAGTTTTGTTCCATTTTGTGTCAATTTTGTCGAGTTCAAGTAGTGGATGTTGGTCGTCTGAGTCTCGGCGTGTGCGTCGTCTTCGTGTGATCATTGTTAAGATCTTGCGAAGCTTCAGTTTTGCGCAGGTGTACGTTACAATTCTCAAAACTTTACGAGTTACTTTAAACGTTATATATGCCGTAAGTACTGTGAGGTAGAGGAGAATTGCCGTTACAGCGATTGCAATTCTTGGCCAGCATTCGGGGTTTGAAACCATTTGTAAAGTTGCATTTAATTTGTTCGCAAAAAGGGCTCGGAGGCAGAGTCAACCCTGCGTTGCGCAGTTCGCAACGGCACGTTGAGAGATCCTCAACGCACGCTGTATGGGCGGAGACACAGACGGCTCGAGCATGCGAGTGTGAATGTTCGCGCGAGAGAACGTGTCTAATCGGGCGAAACTGCGCAACGCAGGGTTGACTCTGCTCGGAGGACAAGCCCAGTGGGTGGCCTCCGTGGCATTTTTAATTACTGATTTTAATGTAATGTGATATGTGTGTAATGTTACTTCAGGTGGGAACTGAACGGTTATGTTGTGGTCTGGCTCTTTTATTTCAATGCAGTAATCGTTTCCACATACTTGTATTCGTTCTGGTTGTTGATGTGACTGTATATTGATTCCTCCTGTCACACAGTGAAGAATTGTGTGTCGGTTATGTGAGGTTGTAGGGTTAATTAATGTGAAAGCTAAGGCTATAGTGAGCCAGTGCTTCCATAACGTGAATGGGGTGGCTAGTTGGCTGCGATTAAGAAATGTATCTCTCGTGTCCGTTGTTATCGTAGTATGAGTGTAGGTTTTGTTTAGTTTTGCCCGTCGCGGAAGAATTGGACGTGATCGCAGACCGTTATATCGGGGCTTGTTGAGTCTACTTTGCTGGGATCGGTTATTCTGTTGGATTGCGTGTGTGGCTCTATTTCATTTCTCATTGTTGCAGTGTTATCTGTGGATGGTGTTTCTCGTGTGTCGTCGTCTAGTTCTAGAGGTATTAGCATGTTGATTGATCTTTCTAGAGTTGATTTTGAGGTTCGTAGTTTAACTGATCTGACTGCACCATCTTGGTCTTGTATTAGACTTAGTTACGAGTCCTAACGGCCAGTCGATTCGGGGTATGTCTTCATCCATGATGAGAACCACTTCTCCGACACGGGGCTGCTTTCTGGTAAAGCTCTTTTGTTTGATACGTCGTTGATGATAGTTTCTTAATTCAAGAAGATACGCGGTGTGCCAAGCTTGCCAGAGGTGCTTGAGATAGTTTGATTGACTTTGTAGGTATTTAATGGCTTGATCTCTCGTAGAGATTTTGGGTATGTATTCTGGGTCGGTTGTCGCTCGCAGGGTTCGTACTTAGTAATGGCTTGATGTTAGCGTTAGGTATGAGAAAGTCAATTGGACGAATTATTAACGAGTCTTCGATCGTGCTTCCTGAGTACGCAAGTGGTCTAGAATTTACCATGGCTTCGCATTCTGTGACTATTGTTGCGAAGTCTGTTTCATCTAGTATTCTTTTTGCTACTACGCGTTTTAACGTTGATTTCATAATGCCAATTAAGCGTTCATAGAAACCGCCTTTCCAAGGGGAAAGAGGTGTTATAAATTGCCATTGTATTTTTTCATTGGTTAGGAAAAGTTGTGTCGCCTTAGCTTGTAGGATGTCTTCATTCTCCGTGGATGTAAGAAGTTCATTGCTACGCTTAAAATTAGTGGCGTTGTCTGATATAATGAGTTGCGGTTTGCCTCTTCTGGAAATTAGTCTTCTGAGGACGTTGATTATTTGAAGTGCACTTAGATCTTTAACTACTTCGAGATGTATTGCCCTTGTAGTCATGCAAGTAGAGAGAAATATCCATCTTTTGATTTTGCTGTGGTCTGAATCGACTATGGTGAATGGTCCGGCTAAGTCGATTCCAATGTGTGAGAATGGTTTTGTGGGTTGGGTTCTGGCTGTTGGCAATGGTGGAGATGTTGGGTAGAAGTATGGCTTGCCGTTCCATTTCTTGCATGTGAGGCAATGTTTTAAGCATTTTCGTACTATTTGTCTGTCTTTCGGTATCCAGTATGTGAGGCGGAGGTTAGCAAGAGTGCCATTACTCCTTGATGCCCACAACGGACGTGAGCGTTCTCTTATTAAGAGTGTAGTTACGTGTTGATTTGGTAAAAGTAGAATAGGTTCTATTACATCTCTTGGTAAATATTTGGCTCGTAAACGGCCTTGGCATCGTATTAATCCGTTTTCATCTGGATGTAATCCTAGGTGCTCCCATTTACGTTTATCTTCTTTTGTTATGTTACGTTGCATGAGTTTAAGAAGAATCCTCTTCTGCCATTGAATGTCCGTTGAGTTGAGAGATGATAACGGTATAGTTGAGGTTACGTGTTCTATTTCTGGTATGCAGGCTAACAATTTATTTTTGCTCTGTTCACTTAATTTGTCATATATCCGACGCTTAAGATATTTCAAGACTAGTGCCGTTACATTGTGTTAAGTGACGAAATGTTGTTAATAAATGAAAATGGCAAGGTTCCGGTAACGGTGATGAGATAGTCGTGAAGGTTGTGTGTTCATTTTCATTTATATCGTCAAGGCTAGTTTCGATGTTTTCTTCCTTAAAGTTGCAGTGAAATTCTTGTAACTGTGGCCACGTGGTTTGGTCCTGTTGTAGGAAGTCTGGACCTGACCACCATAGAGATTGTCTTATTTGTTCTTTGGTAATCCCTTTAGTTGCACAATCTGCAGGGTTGCTTTCGGAAGGGATGTAGTATAGGTGTATATTGATTTTTTCCTCTAGCCATGACTGAACTGTGCGTTTTATCTCCTTACATCTGTTTTCCACGAACGTCTCATTTTTGGACTTGCAGCCAATGTAGTGCTACTTGTGAGTCACTGTAAAAATTAATGAGTGTGATTTTCGCTGAACCTTCAGCTTTGTATTAGTCTCGTATTTGTTTCTTCCGTTATGGTTTGAGTTATTTGCAGATGCTATTGTGAGATAGAAATAGTTGGTGTAGGTTAGAATGTAATAGTTAGTTAATGGAGTAAATCTGTTTACTTAGGTAGAGAATATCAGGCCGCCAGCCTGGCTAGTGCCCATGTAGAATGGGAATGTTATGTTGTACTTTAAAATTGCAGCACGCCGTATGTTTTGTTTCTCTATTAACAGCAAGCGCATGGATACTCGCCGAAGTTAAACTTTTCAAGATGGCGAGCTTTGATAAGTGTCCCATGCTCGGATTGCAAATGGAATTGTGGGATACGAGCTTAAGTTGTGTAGTGTAGGCACGGCTGGGTATAGTTCAGTACTTAGTGCTGGCGTGAATGTTTGTGCTGGATGCTAGTTAACTATTAATGCTTTTAGTTATTAATATTGGCTGTTAATGTCGTAGTCTCGTCTGTAGGTTTGTGCATCCAACTAGTTAGTTGATCAGTTGGAGGTATGTTGAGACTGGATGAGGACCTCTCTTGAGTGTGGGGATACTTGATGGTGTTGTTGCGCATTCAGGTACGGTTCTTGTGCAAAGGTTGGATATGGTGTGTAGCGCATGGGGTGGTGTGTTGAAGTTGATTGTAAAGTGCGTGCGTAGTGTTGCATTGCTATTTTGTGGCAGCGAAGTTCTATTAGTCTTTTTTCAAGCTGTCTGGTCATTGTTGCCGCAGTTGTTATTAGGGTAGTTCCTCGTATGTTGTTCCAGAAGTTCTCAAATTGGTTTAACTCTTCTTCGTTTTTATTAGCGGCTTCGGCAAGTTTCCTGCATGAATTTACATAAGTGGACCATATTGTTGAACTTTGGTGTTCTATTTTTGCTTTAAGGTTTTGTACCATAAGTGTTTTGGTAGCAATGTAAATTTTGAGTTGTGGGTTATCCACGGGGAATACCCATGGAGAGGTATATTCGTTAGCTTCTTGTATTAGAGAAGTTAAAATATTTGTCTGGATTTCCAGATCGTGCTTGGTAACATTGAGGTGGAAGGGTTGTTGGTCGGAGAAGCTGTCATAGCCGAAGATACGAAATGTTGTTGCTCAGGCTGTCGGAGTTTATATAGTGTTGGGAGGTTATGGGAAAGGAGATTTCGTTAATTATCGACTTTCTTAGTTGAATTCAATTTTTTCCCTTTTTTTGTTTTCTGTCAGGTTTCCTTTTCTTTCCCAATTGTCTTCTTTTTTTTCCTGTATCCGCATGCTTCCTTTTGAGTATTAATACAAGGGAGCTCTTGTCTACTACTAACCCTTTATTAATCAATCGACCAATATTTGATAAAATAAATTAATTGACCAAATCCGTACAATCGAATTGTGATAAGTGAAGGGAGTACGGAGTTCCCAAAGAATCTCTTTATGAGAATAATTCAATGATAAGGAATTGTGATGGTCTTACATTGGAAACTGATATGGGCAGAATGCCGAATTGTGGCGCGACATTACGTTGGTACGGCGGTCTCGCCTACAGTAGAAACATTGGAGGTTAACATTGCAAGAAGTAACCATATGAGTGGCTTCTCTAAGACAACGTTCACACCGGTTTCTATTGTAGCATTGTGCACGTCTCTGTGAAAGGGTTCGATACTGCGTGCAGTCTGTGGCCCAATGTTCGTCGCCACAGAATGCACAGGTGTTAGTTGCTTGGTTTCTTCTATTATCCAGTGAAGGTGGTGAGTTACGGCGGCGCCGGTTTTGATCGGCGTGTGGTGCATGTTGCTGTTGTCGTGGTTGTTGCTGGTCTTCCCAACGCTGCATGGTTTCGGTTAGACGTTGGGTGGCACGTTCAAGTTGCGAGATGCGGTGTCCAATTTCTCGCAGATACACCTGATTCGTTGAGACTTTTCTCGAAATTCTCGAAATGGCAGACTGAAGAGCGTTGAGCTCCTCTGCCACGTCTGGTTGTTGGCGGTTGGCTTCATCGTTGTTGTGACCATCATCATTGTTGACCTTGGTATGGTTCGTCGTCTTCGTTGTCCTCAAGATTGAAGGGTCTTGGTCATTATTGACGCTTTCATTTTCTCCATCAAAGGAGTGAAATTAGCTTCTTCAGTTAGGTTCCTTGTTTGCTCTACAATTTAATGCGTCGAGGTAGCCAAAGTGAGACATGAGAAGCGAAAGACATTTAGTCTTGGCTGAATTAGGTTGTTGGGTAATGCAAGAGTTACAATTGATATGATAACCCATGGATTATGTTTGACCCTTTTTATAGTGATCGGCGGGCCGATAATGGATTATCACGACTTCCCTAATGGACTGTCGCGTGGAATTTGTACCGGCTCATGGTCGTAGGAAAATGGCAAGTGATGAGCATGGAGTCATTGAAACTCCATTAGCGATTTGTCACCGTGGGAGCGGTGGGAATCATTCCTCTTACTGGTTG